GACGAGCCGCCCGGCCCGCCCTGCCCGCCCGGCGCCGAGGAGAAGACGCTTTTTAAAGGGTCAAAGCACTTTTGGCACTCGTGGAATGGAAACAGCGGAATAGATTGTTAACACTTAAAGACAAACAATTGCAGAAGCCAAACCGTCGACACTGCAAAATGCACTTTTTCAGCTGTGTACTTCTCGCAGCAAGCGCGGAGATCATTCCGGAAGAAAATGCAATAACACGCTTTCTTTGCCTCCGACGCCCTCTGAAAGTTCGCCAGAGAAACAACTTGGTGAACTTCCTGAGTGACACTTTTCCTATAAGGCGGCGCGCGCCTGCCCCGCCCCGTCTGTAGCCTTTTAATAAGAAGTTGCGTATTGGAGGTGTCATAGAACTCGAACACAACAAACTAATTTCATTTCCCGCGCTTTGCACGGACCAGGAATGCACCGGACGCCTCTGTTTTTCTTTTGTTTATAAAAAATATTTTGTTGTCACTTTTTTAAATTTGTTCTTTTCTAAAACTTGATAATATTTGCATGAGCACCAGGACCATGGTAATCTTGTCTTGAAAATTCACAGAAAACTTAAAACAAACTGTTCCGAAAGCAGTTCTGTATACCCTGTTAATTCCTGTTGGAGGCGCTCATAAAATTTGGCACACCCATGCAAGTAGTTAGAGGTTTTCTAGAGCGCTCCATGCCGTCCATAGTTCACTGAGGCACGGGGTCAGGGGCACACGGGGTGCATGACTACAGTCGGGGGCCACCACCGGTCAGCTGTTCGTACAGGCAGCCATCCATCAAAGGGATGTCTCCATATGCCAACTGCCGACAAGCGCACAAAGACGGATCGGGCGCGCCGCGCTCCCGGTCCAGGGCGTGTTCACGCGTGTCACACACGTCCAGTGAAACATGATACGCACGCCAGGGAAATTTGGCAGTTGGCCGGCCCGGGAAACGGGACTAAACAATTTTTCGAAAGTTTAAGAACCATGGTTGAATTCTAAGGGCCACCCACCCACGCCTTGGAGAAAGGCTCACGAACAGCTTTTGGCCACTTTCAAACGGAAATCATAGAAAAAATGCGTGCTCCCTCGGCTCTTTGCTCAGGCGAGAGGTTACAACCCCCCCTCCCATTCTTCTCCTCCACTACGCCACTGGGACCTCCAGCAGTCTACCTGTGTTTGTTTTCACTCACAGCTTGATTAGCATATACGGTGCGAACAGCTCGCAATGAGCGACCGCGAATATGCCCTGCCGCCTTCAAGTTATTTGTATATACAAGCCATCCCGTTCCATAAATCAGAGAAGGGGGAAGGGCTAACACCCAGGTGATGGTTCCCCGGGGAGGCCCGCAAGACGGTCCGCATGCGCTGAGAGTTTCTCATACAAAACGAGCGCAGAGACACAGTGTAGGAAAATATTGCCCGAGTCGAGTGCGTTGGTGGCGGGCTGCGGCTGGTTGAACATGCACTGTCCTGCCTCTTGTACCTTCGTGTCGTCGTCTTTGTGTCAACACCACCACACACCATTAAGAGCCAGGCAGTTTATCATTCTACAATTGTAAAGTAGAATTCTCCTTCCGCTGCTGTTGGAAAAAATGTGGGAATCAAATTCCTTGTACATTAACTGACTCGTGTGACTGCATCAACATGTCTTGTTATTCTAATAATGTTTGCAATAAAAGGCCTTTGTGGTGGCTCTGTGTCTTCCTGTCGCCGGGCTGGTTGTCGTTCAGGCGGAGGGTATTTTTAATCGTGTTTAATCCTCTCCCATTGTGTGTGCGCGCTGACCACAGGTGATTCATCACCTTCCGGAAAGGTAAATAAGAACGAAAACAAATTAAACGCGGGGAGCTCGCTTGTTACAAGGGTGTGAATAAGACAAACGTTTCCCCGCGCGTCTTTTTCGGCCAAGTTTTTCCGCGGGTCGTCCTGCTGCCGCGCGCTCCGCGACGTCGCCGACGGGAGGGTCTGCTCCAGTCTGCGCGGACCGAGGGGGACATGAAAGCTGATCAGCCCATTACAAAGCTATAAAGTGGCCCGCGACGGGGTGCGGCGTGGTCACGACTGCGGTGGCGGTGCCCCTTCGGCAGCCCTTCGGTGGTCCGAGGGACGGTCAGGGTGTATATATACCGCCCCAGAGCAGGCAAATAGGGCAAGTGAAAGCAACCCTTCACTGTGGCCGGATCCCTTTATCTGCCTATGAATGAGTAATCCGAGAGGATCAGTCCCGATGTGTGTGTGCGTGCGCGTTCGTGGACACAGTGGACAGTGGCGTAGCTGCTGAGGGCAGGATAGCAGCAAGGTTATCGGACCGACAATTCTTTCAGCTTCGCAGAGTCTGACAGGGAAATGCAGACAGAGTATCGTTCGAATGCCGCGCCGGAAGAGAACCAAGACTTCTTGGACCTTCCCTGGTTGGTCCTCTTCCACTGCTCACCTGTTGGCCACCTAAAGCGTTATTTAATGGACGGTTGCTCGGCAAGCTAGGCCCCTTCATTGAGCCCTGTCCTCTCTCCACACACACTTGAATTATAACATGCAGGGTGCGGACAAAAAAGGTTGCCGCGGTGTTCGACGCGTCGAACTCGTGTGATTTGGCTCGCAGCGCCGTGCAGCCACTTCTGCAACATCCGCACTGAAATCGTCTTTTAACTTGGCCGACGTGTCTCACAAAGTTTCCCGTGGGGAACCATTTTATTGCAATACTCTGGCTGTACTGCATTCATGACTGGGGCCGCATACAGTGGACGACAAGGAACTGGATAAAGAACTGGACTTTGTTGCCGGCACGTCCTGGCCACCCTGATCCCGTGGTACCGTTAGAAACTCTGTCCAGGCCCGCAGGCTCGGAACAGGAGAAAGAAAAGCAGATGTGACGCAAGCGTGGACTTTGCTTCTCGGGTCGTCGACCTTTCTAACGCTTCATCCAGAACGGATAGATCTTTTCCGCATCCCTTTCCTGAAAATTTAAAATAACACTCAAATGTTAGAAAAGCAATCAGCACCGGTTTTCCAGCAGGCAGCCCGGAGGCGAACGCTCCTTCCCTGTTTATATTATTGGATTACTTTTACCAGAGCTAATTCGTTTTCGGGCGAGGCGTGGCGGCCCGCCGGTGATACGGGGCCCTTCTCTCATTTGTTCCTTGTCACCGCCTGCCGCCTTTGGTCTTGTGCCGCGCCGGAGGTAGGCAACCCTCAGCGGGTAGTGCAGCGCTGTGACGCCGAGGGTGGACGCGTCGGTGTGTTGTTGAAAAGTCGCACCGAGTTCGTCGAGACGGTTCGTTGCCTTTGTACCTGCCGTGTGTGTCGGCTGGTGGCGCCTGCACCCCGACCTCACCCCCCACTCCTCGACCTTGCCGTCTCCGAGCATCACCTCTCATCAACCTAGATTAATCAAACGAGGGAAACGTCAGAATGGCAATTCTCGCGGCGCCGCCGGGCCGAGCGCCAGACCCCGGGAGAGGGGGAGGGGAGGACGGCGGCGTCGGCACAATGCGAGTGTGTGAACACGCCGACAAGGTACAAGGTGCGAAGGAAGAGCCTTCGCGCCCGAAGCACGCTCTGTCGTGGCTCTGGCTAGTACCCTTCTCTCGCGGACCGAGAATAAACTTTGTATCGCTGCACCCATAGTTCTAGCACTCCACTTAGTTCCGCGCGGAAAGCAACGCTTCCCGAACGTAACGCGCCGGACCGTCCCCCAGAGACAGACTTTACTCGCAGCCATTTTTACGACGGCGGCGCGGCGCGTCCCCCCGGGCGAGTCGGGCGAGGTGTTGCGCTGGCTATCATGACTAGGATGACGCGGTGCTTCTCCTTCAAGGGAGAGGAACAAGGGACGGGATGGACTGGTGACAAGATCCTCTCTGGCTGCAGACGACAGGAAAGAAACGCATAATAATGAATTTATAGCCGCACGCCAGACTGATTTTATGCCCATCCTCCTCCCCTCCGCCTTGCCGCGCTTGCCGCTCGGTGCTGAGCGCCTCGCCACACATATTCTTTCCTCCCCGCCGTCGTATCGCCGCATCCTGGACCGCGCTTCTCGCCCTTCACCGAACGGATATCTCGAATTTCGGACCTGTGCTAAGCTGCAGACCTGCATCCTACTGGCTGAACTGCTCGACTCTGCGACACTCGCCTCGCAGACCCTAAACGAAGCAGCGAATGGGGGAAAAGAACGAGGGGGAACTTTCTTTATTAGCGCTTTGTAAAAGACAATGTCGTGACAAAGTCGACGAGGCTTTATGAAAACAAATCGCGACCATGTGAGTGGTCTTCATTGCCAATACAAAGGGCGTAAAAACAGGAAAGGAAGCCCTGTGAAAGTGAGAGGGGGTGAGGGGGTCCTCGCCTGCGCCCAAACCACCCTGCTTCCGGCCGATTTTCTCCCCCGCGCTCGTCTTCTATCTCGGGCTGCCTCCGCGGCGGCGGGGCCCAAATTTGGGGCGATTCGGACGCACTGGGCGTTGCATGAATGGCGTGTTTAGGCTGCTGAATCATGCAGCAGGTTCCTTTGAATGGATTTTACGTTTTTCATTGTTTCTTTTGTGGGACGCTGCGCTACGCGGCTACGCGCGGTGTATGGACGAGCATTCCCCTTCGGCTCTCGCGCAAAGGGTGCAGCGCGCTGTGCGGGGAGAGGGAGGCGGAGGGAAAAAAGAAGAATCTCTCGGGGGCGCTTATTCAGTTTCACGCGTTTTAAACTGCCTTTTCACGGCGGGGTAGTGTGTGCAGATTGTGGGTGGGGTGACATCTACATCGCGCTAAATAGACACCCCCATTAGATCGGCCGTAGGGACCCGGACGGTCAGCCTCCATCCCGTACAATGTTGCAAGGGTGTCATCGGCCTATCGCTCGCTCTGACTGACAGGCCGTCCCGTACACTTTGTCAACCTGTTCGACTGCGGGCTTTCTTGGGGCCTTATGTGGACAGAAGAAGAAATTGAGCCTTGCAGTGCAGTAACAATAGTACAGTTTTCAATTTACGTTCCACTTACCTACTACAGAAGTCCGATTCAAGTAGCTCCCAATGAAGAATTGAAAGTTGAAAAAGTGGGGCTTCAAACAACAACGGCCAAGACATATCGAAGTTTCTACATAAATAGGTTTGATCAAAGAGCAAACCCAGTACCATAATAATTATTTGAGAAGGAAGCCCGGAGTGAGCGCGCGGCGTGTTGCCCGGCTGCGACGCGCAGACAGCCTGATCGATGACGGACTCGCTGCGGACGCGGCGGCACCCAAGCAACGCTATTGAAGAATCGGCCGCAATCTGCATGGGACACCCAGCCTTTGGGGGTAGGTAGTTTTTTACTGATTCGCTTTTTTTTTCTAATCGAAGGGGGATGAATTTTGTGAATGGTACTGGTACGTGTGCATGACTGCGTTCTCCAGCCGCCCCTCCCCTTCCACGCCGGCATGCCCCTCCCACAGCGCTCCCCCACCATCGGGCCTCCCTCCCCTCCCGCCCCTCCCCGCGCCGCCTCGCCCTGTGCCTCGGCCTGCGCCTCGGCCTGGCGGCCAAGTCCTCCACGCCGACTCCTCGGGCGCAGGCTGCCACAGGCTGCCACAGGCTGGGCTGCCGGAATGGGCGCGACGTAGTGCCGTGGTGTGTGTGTGTGTGCGTGTCAATCCGTGTGTGTGTTTCCAGTGCGCGAGTGTCATGTGTTTGTGGTGAAGGTGCTCCTCAAGATGGTGGTGAATAGGGTGACGTGGTGATGTGAAGCATGCCGGCGACCGTGCTGACGGACATGCGCGGCAAGCAGCAGGGACCCGCGCCGCACGCGCCACAGCACCTGGGCCCCATCGGGGGCCTGGCCGCCGCCCTGGGCCCCGGCAATGTGGGCTGCGTCATGGAGGACGACCTGGACGACGAGGACGAGGACTTCGAGTCGGACGACCTGAAGGGCGCGTCGCCTGGCATGGACAACGTGGGGCCCCCCAACGGGCAGCAGCCGCCCCCTGGAGGGCCCAACGGCGCGCCCGCTGGTCCGGGAGGTCCTGGAGGACCGGGGGCGGGCTTCTGGCTGGCGGCGGTGACGGCCGCCACCCTGGGCCCCGCGCACGGTCAGCACCCCATGGAGCACGCCATGGCTCCCATGAACACCGTGGAGACGGGCTTCATCAACAGCCAGCCGTCCATGGCTGAGTTCATGACGGCCCTGCCCCACCCACACATGGGTGCGGACATGGGCCCCGGATCCCTAAGCCCCCAACCCCCTGGACCCGGCGGGGGCTACCCTGCCATGGGCGACGGGCACGCCGGCGTCAACGTCCCCGAGTACCCCTGGATGAAGGAGAAGAAGACCACCAGGAAGAGCAGTCAGCAAGGTGAGAACCACGTCGAGGCCCTGCGAGGCCGTGAGGAGCTTCCAAAGTCATGACTGTCAAACAGTGAAACTTGGTGAAACTGATCTCCCCGATGTAAAGGAAAATGCTTACAGCACACTGGTCTCCATAGAAACTTACTGTCCGGGCAGATGAAAAGTTGATTGTAAACCGGTGGAAACTGAAAACGTGCCAATGAATGGCAAATGGGCCGCCAAAGACAGAAAAATTGACGTCGAACTTAAGCCACTACTATTCTTTTATCAAATGATAAATATTTGAAGAAATTTGTCACAAGCCAAACGAACGTTCGAACGACACGATGGATGCGCCTCGTGCTGCCGGTGCGGAACGGTACGTGCGACGCTCCGGGGGGTCGCCGCCAGGTCGCTGCCCGCTGCGAGGTGGTTCGTCTTTCAATTAGTAGTCAATGGCTGTCGACACGAGTTCGGCCATTTGTTCCGTCAAAATTGAAACGTTTGCATACTCAAGCAGCAGGCCGATACGGCACGCTAGAGAAAACTTACGGATCGGAGCGGCGGGGGGCTCGCGTGCCTCACCCTGTCTTAGCAGCCACTTGAACACTAAAAAAATGGAGCTATAAAATCCACCACTGCTTTGTGCAGCGATCTGCTTGTGTGCGTGGTTTTGCGGTCCTTTTTCTGCTGCGTCCGCAGTGCAGTGGTGGGTCGCGGACAGTGAGAGTGCGATGACAAAAGTAGCTCTAGTATCGAGTGTCCTTCAGGCCGCTATTACGTCAAAGTTAGTCACGATCGCAAGGCCACCGAGTGGCGCTTCGTGAGCGGCTTGTCCCGAGAGGCTTGTCCCGAAAGCGGCCGCGTTGCAAAAGCCTCGCCGGAACGCGCCAAACGCTCTCCGCGCGGAGCCCCGGCGACGCCATGGACTGAACACGGATGTTCACCTTAGGACACAGGCCAACGTTGCCGCTGGTTTTTGGGGTCGCCGCGTGGGTCAAAGTGAAGTGCATACCATGTCCTTGCATCTCGAATACTTGAGTGTTTGAAAACCAAATCACAAAAATTCTAAATCACCTTATCAAAGCCGTATTTTCAGGATGCGACTCCAAAAACTCACTGTTCCTGTAAAGTGGGGTTTTACGTCAAAATTTGAAATTTTTTAAATGAAAACCATAGAAATAAAACTAAGGTTAGTGTGCATGCAACAAAAAGTAGCCTCCTCGATGAGCCTTAGCTTTTGGAAAATCAACAATCACATGTTGCATGGTCCGGGGGGAAACTTGCCTGTTAGCACCGTGCGTACCTGCCCGTATTTTGCCTGCATTGTTGCTTCTCAAGGTGTCCCGCTGCCGTCAAGGCTGGCGGGCCCGGCCGCGAGAAATTGTTGCTTTGACGGACTGGCAACACCGAAAGTCACCTCCTCGCGGAGGCGGCCGGCAGTTTGTTGCGCAGAAATTGCTCCCGCTCTGAAAGGAGACGGCACGGTTTTCTGTTAGGCCGGCCAGAGCAGGCCAGGGCCGCTCGGATTTGGCGCTGCGTGCCTTGACGAGCAAGTGACGGGCGAGCCGCTAAGACCCGCGGAGCAGCGCCGAGCCGTCTGTCAGGGATGCCAACTTCTCGCGGGGCGAGGCGACACGCTGCAGGCGAAAGACAGACCCGACAGAAGAGTGTCACGGGCCTAGCTCCCAGCGGAGAGGACCAGACGGACGGACGGACAGACGGACTGGGCCTTATAGGGACGAGGAACACAGAACGGAACCGCAGCACTGCGCTGCCGCGCCGCAGATGGAAAGTTCCACAAAGTCTTTGATGAGTTCTCTGTCGACGCGTTCGCGGCTACTTTCATCAGTTTCCGTGGCCGGCGGCGGTGTTGCTCGGATACACGCTGGAAGTTGTTGATGACGTCAGCAAATCGATAGAGACTGTCCCTTTAATCGCAGCTTTCGGGCGTTCAAGTCACCTGCCCTCCGCCGGGCGGACGCGCGGAGGGACGCTGAGGTCGCGGCCGCCGGTGCCGCGCGGAGAGCCGAGTAGAATAGACCCGAAAAAATGCCACGAAAATAGCGAGCAGACGCGGCGGCGGCGCTGCAGGCAGCTGATTGACTGATGAGCTGACAAACAGACCACCCCACGGTGCGGCGAGTGGCGGCAGTGGCGGCGCAACAGCGAGGGGGTCGTGGCACGTCTCGCGGCTGATTCCGCGTTCTATCCGACTCTTGTCGAAAAAGATACTGGTGGAGGCGGCTGGGCTCAACGCGCGGGGAACCGAACGGCGTCGTGGTCGTCATTGATTTGTTTGTTTCCTGGATTTGTTTGCGGGTTGTCCAAGCTCTCGCCGCAGTCGCGCGGTGTGTTAATAGGCACTGAATAATGAAGCCGGAGCAGCGAGTCGCCGGGTCGATGCCACGCCGCCAATCAGCCAGCCCTGCGATATTGATCACTTCAGCGCGCCAGTGTCATGCCTTTCCGCCACGTTTCACCTAAGGTGTAGACAGTTTTGCTGAATCCTTTTTTATGACTGCCCCAATGTAGCTTTGCTCTCTTGTTTCTTAAGCTTTCCATTTTGAATCGGTTGAATTATCTTATGCACATGGACCAAGGAATTTCCAGCAATCCTGTGAGTTCCTTTGTTGAAACTTTTCCTCCGGTCAGTCGCACTGGGCCTGGGTGGCGGCTGGTGGCGGCCATGACGGCGTTGCAGGCGTGGGTGCTGGCTGGTCCGGCCCGCCACCGCGCCGTCACACTAGACTGAGCGCGCGGCCGCGTCCGAGAGCGCGGCGCGGCTCTTGTTTGAAGGGGAAACAGGTTGGCGTCGTTGCCATGGAGACGGCCGCGGCGACCAATCGCAGGGCCCGCTTTCAAAAACCGCTGCGGCAAGGGGGCGACCTTGCCGTCCCCACCCCCTAGGCCAGGCCACGCCGCCACGCCAGGCGGGCCCAGGGCCCAAGGGCCCCGAGGGGCGCAAGGACGAAGGGAGCCCCACCTGGCTGGCCTGCAGGGCCCAGGGCTGGCGCGGCCTAGCGGCCCGGCGGGCAATTAATGAGTTGTCCGGCTTGGCCAGGCTTGGCGGCGCCAGATTCGCCAGATTTGATAGGCAATTCCGGGGCCAAAGTTGGCCGTTTATTATTTATCGCGGTCGGAACGCACTTCGCTGCGCCGCGCTATGCCCTTTTTGCGACCAGCACAAAAAGTAACGACAAAAAGGCACCTTCTTCGAAACAATTCCACTTTAAAATATTAATTTTTTTTCAAAAAGAAATTTTTAAAAATAATTTAGTACACCTAGAATTTTTTTAGGAAAATGTTTCTAATCATGAAGGTAGTCAAAGTGTACCAGTTGGGAGCGGTGCCAGCGGACCACACACTGGAGGTAACTCTACTCGTGTCATTAACACGGAGCTGTCAGCAGCCTCCGTCGCCGCGCCACTCCGCGCCACTCCGTGCCCTTGACAGATCACTACGGCCATCATTTAGGGAAAGGGCGCGCTGAACCAGCCGAACCCAGCGTGCCGCTTCTGCGAACCATGCCGCCGTTTAAAGAAAGCCTCCAAGGGTGTCATCATGAGAAATTTTGGGTCAGTCGAGTGTGTGGCTTTAAAGACCAAAAAAAATTCAAATTTCTTGCATTGCGTTTTTTACTAGTTTCCCTCGAGTGAAAAATTAATTCAATTGGTTAAAACATTAACTACACGTGCAGTGACAGATTTATATATTTATTGGCCATCGGTTCTGCATTAGTTTGTAGCACGGTACCAATCGTATGTCCCAACTATATTTGTCCCCTGCTGGCGACGCATATCGAAAACGAAAGCGCAATCAATAATCTGAATAAACGCGAGCTACGCACAGCCTGGCCGGCTTTAGCAAATATTGATGAAACGCGGCGGCCGTCCGCTCAGTCACTCCCGGCCGAGGCTCGCCGGCCCACCCCTGCAGGGCCCTGCCGCCCCGCCGGCAGGTGCAGGCACCCCACGGGGGGCCCCGCCGCCCCTGCCACGCCGCGCCACGCCCCTCACAGCGGCGCCTCATATACACCTGCGTGAAAAATGGACGGCTATTTGGGCAAACAAAGTGCGCCTTACTCCTGCTAATAGGGTTCGTTTGTGCGTCCCTGCGGGTCCCTGCACCGAGCCGCCGAGCGGCCCGCCGTAGCGTCCAGCCGAGTCCGGCCGACGAGAGTGGAGGAGAGTGCAGTGACAGCGGTGTGGAGCGGCCCTGCGGGGCGACCTGTGTGTCACCTTCTCGCCCGACAAGAAATTTTCTTTGAACGCGTGAACTTTATTAGGGGATGGCAAGTTGAAATATTTTGTCAGAATTTTAAATAAGCGTACATTCAGAAGAATTTTTGAGAATTTTGTACTGTAAGTTTCAGTTTGTAATCATTTTTTTTGGTCGTCAATTAGTTGTTTGGCGTAGCTCTATGCCGCGTTCGATATGAATTGTTTGCTGGAAGACGCTACTAATACGGCGGACACAGTTGTATCCAGGCGGGGCGGCCGGCCAAAGCGAGGTAATGGATTGACCCTGTGCAAGGCGCCGCCCTGTCCTGCCCTGCCCCGCCGACCCGCCGTCCGTCGGGGCGGCCCGGCGGCCCTCCCGGTCGGTCCTTAGGGGTCCGGCCTCGGGGTCGGCCCTCCGGCCCTTCGGACGGACCCCAGGGCCTTCGGCCTGGCCAGGCTTGTCCACTAACCACCCACCCTTCGTCGCCGGCAAAAAGTGAGGCACTGGGCTGCAGGGCGACAGCTCGACCGCCAAAGTGTGGGCCCGCCGGCCTGGGCCTTGGCCTGGGCGGCCTGCCGCAGGGGCGGAGGGGCGGGCCGTGTCCTTGCGGTCCTCCTCACGACCATTACCGCCAGTCGGAAACGCGGGGAAAACTACCAATTATTTGGAGCAAATATTGAGTTGTTGAGCTGTGAAAGATGGGTTGGTTAGCCTGCTTCCGTTCCTCCTAGAATTGTTTTGAATATTCGTCTGAGAGTGCATGGCGATTGTTTCACACGGCGGTTGCTATGCGTGGGGCCGCGT